CAAGAAGAATACTTTGACTTCTTCCATCCCAATTTGTATCCCCTTCATCTCCTTTACTTGTCTTATTGTTCTAGCTAGAACTATAGAATTCTAGCTAGTACTATACTGAATAGATGTGGAGAGAGTGGACAGCTTTGTCTTGTTCCTGATTTTAGTGGCACTGCTTTGAGTTTTTCTCCACTTAATTTGATTCTGGCTATTGGCTTGCTGTATATTGCTCTTATTTTGTTTAGGTATGCTGATTGTATCCCTGATCTCTCCAAGACTTTTTTTTTTTCGTTTTTTTGAGACTGGGTTTCTACGTGTAGCTCTGGATGTCCTGGAATTCACTCTATAGACCAGGCTGGCCTTGAACTCACAGAGATTCACTTGCCTCTGCCTCTTGAGTGCTAGGATTAAAGGTGTGCACCACCACTGCCTGACTTCTCCAAGACTTTTTATCATAAAGTGATGTTGGATTTTGTCAAAGGCTTTTCAGAATCTAATGAGATGATCATAAGTTTTTTTTTTCTCTCTCAGTTTGTTTATATGGTGGATATTTTACATTGACAGATTTTGGTATGTTGAACTATCCCTGCATTTCTGGGATGAAGCCTACTTGGCCATGATGGATGATCTTTTTAATGTGTTCTTGGATTTGGTTTGTGAGTATTTTAGCATCAATGTTCATGAGGAAAATCGGTTTGTAATTCTTTTCCTTTGTTGAATCTTTGTGCAGTTTGAGTATCAGGATGACTGTGACCTCAAAAATGAATTTGGCAATATTCCTTCTGTTTCTATTTTGTGAAATAATTTAAGGAGTATTGGTGTTAAGCCTTTGAAAGTCTGGTAGAATTCTTCAATTCTTCATTAAAACAGTCCGACTTGGGCTTTTTTGCAGGGTGGGGTAGACTTTTAACATCTGCTTCTATTTCCTTCAGCATTATAGGTCTATATTGTTTGTCTCATCTTGACTTAACTTTGGTAACTGGTATATATAGAGAAAACTGTCCATTTCTTTTAGAATTTCCAATTTTGTAGAATATAGGTTTTTGAAGTATGACCTCTAGATTCTGGTGGATTCTCTGGGTTTCCTTGGTATCTGTTGTTATATTCCACTTTTTGTTTCTGATTTTATTAATTTGGACATAAATATGTCTTTTAGTTAGTTTATAAGGGTTTATCTATCTTTAGTTAGTTTATAAGGGCTGATTTTTTGCAAAGAACCAATTCTTTATTTCATTGATTCTTTGCATTATTCTCTTTGTTTCTATTTTATTGATTTCAGTTCTCAGTTTGAATAATATCTGCCCTCTACTCCTTTTGGTTTGTTGTTGTTGTTGTTGTTGTTCTAGACCTTTCAAGTATGCTGTTAAGTTGCTAGCATGAGATCTCTGCAATGTCTTTATGCAGGCACTTAGTGCTATGAACTTTCCTCTAAGTACTGCTTTCATTGTGCCCCATAAGTTTGGGTATATTGTGCATTCATTTTCATTGAATTCTAGAGAGTCTTTATTTCTTTATTTCTGCCTTGACATTGTAGTCATTCAGTAGAGTTTTTCAGTGTCCATGCATTTGTAGGCTTTCTGTTGTTGAAATCCAGCTTTAATACGTGGTGGTTTTGATAGGATACAGGGGGATATTTCAATTTGCTTATGTTGTTTTTGAGACTTGCTTTGTGACTGAGTATGTGATCCATTTTCTATTTTGGAGAATGTTCTGTGAAGCGCTGAGAAGAAGGCATGTTATTCTATGTTTGAATGAAATGTTCTGCAGTTATTGTTAGGTCCATTTGATTCATAAAATTCATTAGCTCCATTATTTTTCTGTTTAGTTTTTGTCTGAGTGACCTATCCATTGCTGAGAATGGGGTTTTGAAATCTCCCACTATTAATCTGTGAGGTTCGATGTGTGATTTAAGCTTTAGTAATGTTTCTTTTACAAATGTGGGTACCTTTTCATTTGGGGCATAGATGTTAAGAATTGAAATGTCATCTTGGTAGATTTTTCTTTTGATGAGTATGGAATGTCCTCCATCTTTTTTTTATTATTAATTTTGAAGTCTATTTTGTTAGGTATTAGGATATCTACATCAGCTTGCTTCTTTGGTTCTTTTGATTGGAAAATCTTTTTACAACCTTTTACTCTGAGGTAATATCTATCTTTGATGTTAAGGTGTGTTTCTTGTATGCAGCAGAAAGATGGATCCTGTTTTTGTATCCATTCTGTTAGCCTGTGCCTTTTTATTGGGGAATTAAGTCCATTGATATTGAGAAATATTAATAACCAATGATTATTAATTCTTTTTTTTGTTGTGTTGTTGTTGTTGGTGGTGGTGATGGTGGTGGTGGGGTGTGTGTGTTTGTGTTTCCTTTCTTTGGATTTGATGGTGTGAGATTATTTATTGCCTGCGTTTTTGTGGGTATAGATTTCCTTGTGCTGGAGTTTTTTTTCTAGTACTTTTTGTAGGGTTAGATTTGTGGATATATATTGTTTAAATTTGATTTTTTTTTTGTCAAATATGTTGTTTTCTTCATCTGTGGTGATTGAAAGTTTTGCTGGGTCTAGTAGTCTGGGTTGGCATCCATGGTCTTTTTGAGTCTGCAAGACATCTGTCCAGGCCCTTCTGGCTTTTAGAGTCTCCATTGAGAAGTGAGGTATAATTCTGATAGGTCTGCCTTTATATGTTACTTGGCATTTCCCCCCTTGCAGCTTTTAATATTTTTAATATCTTTCTTTGTTCTGTATGTTTAGTGTTTTGATTATTGTGTAATGAGGGGACTTTCTTTTCTGATCCAGTCGATTTTGTGTTCTGTAAGCTTCTTGTACCTTTTATAGGCATGTCTTTCTTTAGGTTGGGAAAGTTTTCTTCTGTGCCTTTGAGCTGGGATTCTCTTTCTTCTATTCCTATTATTTTTACATTTGCTCTTTTCATAATGGGCCAGATTTCCTGGATGTTTTGTGTTAGGAGTTTTTTAGATTTAACACTTTTTTTTGATTGATGAATCTATTTCTTCTATCTTATCTTCTACCCCTGAGATTATTTCTTCCATCTCTTGTATTCTGTTGGTGATAGTTCCTGTTCACTTACCAAGATTTTTCCATTCTCAGAATTCCCTCAATTTGTGTTTTCCTTATTGCTTCTATTTCAATTTTTGGGTCTTTAACAGTTTTCTTTTTACATGTTTGTTTGTTTCTTTGCTTTCTTGACATTCTTTAAGGGATTTATCGATTTTCTCCAATTTTTTGTTTGTCCTTTCCTCCATTTCTCTAAGGAATTTCTTTCATTTCCTCATTATAGACCTCTATCATCTTCATAAAGTTATTTTCTTGGCTTCCACTGTGTCAGAATATTCAGGTCTTGCTGTAGTAGGATAGCTGGGCTCTGGTGGTGCCATATTGTCACTGCTATTGTTGATTGTACTCTTACACTGGCACTTAGGCATCTGGGTTGGATGATTATAGGTCTAGTCCCAATTTCTGAGTTTGTCTTTGATGGGTATTTTGTTCCTTGGTTTCTGTTTCCCCTTTGGTCTTCTGGTTCTTGTGGCCTGGTTTTCTAGAGACTGGCATGACCTCTGATCTAGTAGAGTCTTGGTACAAGTTGGGGGCTGGCCTTCTGGAGGCTAGCTTGGCCTTTGGTGCAGCAGGACATCTCTGTCCTTCTGACTGGTGTGACCTATGTTTTTCTGACTGGAGTGGCCTGAACCTGCACCTGAGCAGTAGAAGTCACTGGGAGTTGGAGATAGGGGCCATCTGTGGAGCAGGTGATGAGGTGGAAGGGGGTGGACAGTGGAATGGATCTTTAGGAACAGAATCTAGGGAGTGGGGCAGTTCAGCTGGTAGGCAGGTCATTTACCTGATCTTTTCATTGGTGTGGCCTGAGCAGCAGAAGTCTTTCTTGGGGTTTCTATCAAGACTGACTCTTAACGGTATTATTTGGCAATTATCCAGCCCAATTTAAGTCCAAAAGATTTATTGAGACTTTGTTCCATGCAGACAGGTGAGAAATCAATAAGATCCATGTGGACCCTAGATCATATACCTGGGTGCAATTATGACTCTAACCTTGATGACACAATATGTGTAATGATGGAGCTCCAGCACAAATGTCTTAGAGTCCAGAGCTGCCTCAAGAAATTCCAGACCAGGATGTGCTCTGTGCTACAAAGAAAACAGCACTGAGTCTTATAGGATTAGTCATTTTTACTGAAGAAATGACAACAGCCCCTGCTGTCCCTTGACATCCCTCCTTCACATGGCCTCTTAATTTCTTCCTGCCTTCTATGGGGACTCAAAGGTAAACACACAGCTCTAAAAACTCACAGGTAGCACTCACAAATGAGAGAGAACATAAAGCTTTTGCCTTTCTGGGTTTGGGTTAGTTACATCTCCCAGGATGACTATTTCTGGCTCTGTTCATTTACCTATGCATTTTTAAGTTCATTTTTCTTTACAGTTGAATAATAGCCCATTGTGCATATGCGCCCCATTTTCATTATCCATTATTCTGTTGATGGACATTGAGGATGTTTCCAATTCCTGGCTCTTGTGAATAGAGTAGCAGTGACATGGATAAACAGGTATTTCTGTAGTAAGATATGGAGTCCTTTGGGAATATACCCAGGCATGGTACAGTTGCATCATGTGGTAGATCTATTTCTAGCTATTTGAGACCCTCCCCCCACCCAATGGCATTCACAGTGGCTGCACCAGATTGCATTTCTATCAACAGAGAGTAGATGTTCTCTTTTCCCGGCCTCCCAGTACTTGTCATTTTTAAAAATCTTAGATGAACATTTTCAAAGGACCATGGAATGGCATTTTGGCTGAAAGGCAGAATCTCATGAAGAGGCTGTGGGTGGGCTGAGACATTCTTTCAGAGACATGGAATTAGGGTCAGCACCCATTTGTGTTGCTCTTTGCTGCCAGCCCCCAATTCAAATGCCATTAAGGTTATTTGTGACTTCTTATCCAATGCTAATTTTACATGAATAATTTTTCTGTTCTTCCCTGTAAAGGGATATTTTCAAATCATAGAGATTCAAGTTTGTTGAAGTCTGGACTCACCCTGGGTATGTACCAGCAGATTCATTAGAAGAAGGTGATGTAGCAGGCAAGTTTGGGATGGCTCTTGCATAAACCATTGCACAGGGACTCTTAACAAGTTCAGTGATGACCTAATTACTGTACTCTGTAGGTAACTTGCTCATTTTTAAAAATTCTAAAGATATTTATTGCATGCAAAAACTAAAAAAAATATAAGTGATGAAAAATTGGTTTCCTTCTCACTTTACTCTTGATTCTTCAGGTTTTCCAACTGTAATCAACATTTGATTAATAGGTCCTCAACATTCTCTCTCCTACTCATCTGTATATGTGTCTACGTGCTTATGTGTGCATACAGATATGCATCTACTATACATGCAGGTATGTGCTCGTGTTTCCATTTGCAGTTTATATATTATAGACATTATTTTTTATTGCAGTGTGGAGATAATGCAATACATAATGTTCTGAAGCTTGCTTTCATTTAAGTGTATCAGAGTTCCCCATATTGGCAGAGTAGAAACATCCCTTTATATTTAGCATCATTAATATTGCCTAAGATGGAGATATCTCAGATTTGTCAAGTATTGGTTTATTGAGAAGCACTGGGGTATATTCTAATTATTTGTTAGTGTCATGAGCATCCTTAAATACACAACATTGTACAACACCCTGCACTTCTATAGGATAAACTCCAAGAAACCGAATTCTTCAACACTGGAGAATAAAGCGATACGTGTGACCATGAGATAGATAGAAGAATAAAGGCAAACAAAATGGTGAAAAATAAGATCTAAATGGAAACTTGTCAAAACAGAGAGAAACTTTACAGCAAAGTACAGGTTTTGGGTTCCAATAGGACTGGAAGGTAAGAAGAATGGTTTGGATATACCATGAGATTCAGATGTGAGCCTGTTTCATGGATGTTGTCAAAGGCATCTGTGTGATGTTTAGTGCCAGGGCCTGGAGACCATTGTGAACATAGATCAAAGGTTTGTCACAGTAAAGGGGCCCTTGAGGACAGCAGTACTTGGCAGATTGTGACTTTACTGGAAAAGATACTTCCACAGGTGCCTTCTCCGAGACTAAATCGAATGGGCTCAGGATGACACAGTCAGAATGAAAGAATGTAAACCATTAGTCACTGCAAGTCACTTAGAAATAATCACAAAGGAATGCAAGCATGTAAAAGCCACAGCAACCTGTGCTGCTGACAGAAGGTCATGTTTTTTTAACCTCTGCTGCTCATTAGAATGACTGGATGGCTTTAAAAAGTTCTGGATCCCAGCTGGATCCTAGCACTCAGAGGGTGCACCAGGCCTCAGGTTGGCCAGTCTGGGCTACCTAGTGAAACCTCGTCTCAAAAAGATATATGCATTATATTATTCTCTGGCTATTGAGTAGACCAATTATATCATAAGCCTTGAGAGTAGAGTATCAGGACAGTAGTCCTCCTGATCTATTGCTTCAATTTCTACAGATTCAATTATGTATGGTCAACTGTGGCTCGGAAATATTAAATGGAAATGCCCAGAAGTAAACAACTCATGGACTTTAAATTGCTCAGCACTCTTGATAATATGATGAAGTCTCATACTATTCTGTCTTGAGTGGACTAGGACACAAATAATTTCTCAGTCCAGTATAACCATACCGTATACATGACCCAACCACTAATCACTTCCTGGCCATATTGTTATCAGATCAACTATCAGGGTATCTTGCTGCTTGTGTGTTCAAGTTACTCCAGGTTTCTTTCACAGTGACCCCAGAGAACAAGGATCGAGTACAGTAAGATATACATAGATAGAGAGATGATAGATAGATAGATAGATAGATAGATAGATAGATAGATAGATACATATATACATACATACATACATACACACAGACACAGAGGGAGAGAGAGAAGAGGGAGATCATACTCATATAACATAGACTATTGTTATAATTGCATTTGATTAGTGTATGTATCACTTGCTGTTGCTAACATATGTTAACCTTTGCTATAATTTTTCATGCATATGTGAGAATAAAATAGAGGAGGTTCAGTACTATCCAGCATTTCATATATCTATTGGACATCTTAGAATGTGTACCCCTTGGAAGAGGGGCTATTTTTTTAAATCCTCTACTCTGCCCTAGTAATTCCAAGATTTCTTAAAGCCCAATGGAATTAGAAATTACTAATGATGGACATTAATCAGCCATGTAGAACTACAGATGACAGATTTTTCTGGGACACTCTCTGCCTTCAAATAACATAACATTCAGTGAAAGTGTCTGAAGCCCCCCCCCCCCACTTTCTGTTCTCAGAGGTAAGTAAGTCAGCTTGTAGGTGTGGAATCCGTTGTGAACCCAAATGAAGAAAATTCCACAAAAATTGCTAATAACCAGCTCTGATTGATAGGTATTCATACAATGTGCTTTTCCTTGGCTTTGTTGATTTATTTTTAGGATTTGATGTTTCCTGCTGTGTCCCAGAGATGAAAGCATTAGTGTTTCACATAAGGCATCCTTGTCTTTTTGAGTGTAATTTATCATCTGAGGTGGGGACCTGCCTCAGGTTCACCTGTAATTATTTCTTATAATTAGAGTTGCCCCTACATGTAATGTTCTCCCCACGAGATCCCAGAGAATGCATTCAAGGGCAGGGATCATTTTGTTCTTCCCTGGTGAATTGATCTATCACCCAAGTATGTCAATCTGTATTGAACAACGCCATGTGGGGTCAGTCCTGAGGCCTGAATATGCTGTCCTGTCACTGCCGTGAAAAATTCCTACAGGGATTTCTTTTAGCTTAACAAAAATAGATCTAGTAGCCATTAAGGAATGAGAAAAGGCATACTGTCTTCCTGCTGTATTTTTCTTTTCAAAGCAAATTTTATGAACTGTTACAACAAACAGTTCTTTAACTTCAATTTATAGTTAGCTTATCTGTTAGTATGTTGGGTCCCCATTATACACCAACGGAATCTATATTTTCTAAAGTGTTCTGCATTTTAGATTTTACTTTCTAATTTTTATTTTTATTTTCTAAATTAAAAAATAATGAAGGTTCTACTTTAAAAAAAAAAATCCCATGGTGGTCCTAATCCTATTCTGTCTTTCTCAGATGTGTCGATATGTTGATGTGGCTTGACATGTTTTAACTTCTGCCTTTAAACAGGAAAATAGCAGCTTCCCTGAAGACAGGACTTTATTTGTTTTGAAATACAGACTTCCAAGCCACCTTTGTACAAGCTGGTTTTCTCAATATTTGGAAACAGCTGCAGGAAGCGTTCCCTAAGTCCACGCTGATGACATGGCATGTTTTGTTTCTTTCCTCTGTCGTTCTGAAGGAAGAAAAGCAAAGTTTCTTTCACTTGATTATTCTTTTTTAATTAAAAAAATTGAGATCATATCATTTCTCCCTTTCCTTTTCCTTCTGCCAATTCCTCCCTCGTACCCCTCCCTTGCTCTTTCTCAAATTCATGGCCTCTTTTTCTTTGTTGTCGTGTGTGTGTGTGTGTGTGTGTGTGTGTGTGTGTGTGTGTGTGTGTGTGTGTATTCCTAAATACACAAATACAGACTGCTCAGTCTGTATAATGTTACTTGTATGTTTTTAGGGTGGATCATTTGGTATTGGATAACCACTTGGTGTGTTCTTCCCCGAGAGACTGTGTCTCCTGCTCTCAGCATGCTTTAGTTGCTGGTCGTGTAGTGCTGAGGCCTTCTAGCATCCCACACCATCTCCATTGGCACGCCTATTGGTGTAGCTTATGTTTAGGCAGCCATGTTAGTGATACTCCATGGGTGTAGCTTTTGACATTTCCAGGAAACACAATCTCACAGCAAACTCCTCGTTCTTCTGGCTCTTCCACCCTTGCTGCCCCATTTTTCATAATGTTCCCTGAGCCTCGGGTGGAGGAGTTGTGTTGTTGATGTATCTGTTGGGACTGGGCTCCCGTGACTCTGGGTTTTGCCTGATTGTTTTAAAGGGAGTGAAGACTGAGAACACACAGAGGTAAGGAGAAGACAGGGAGAAAGAGCAGGGAAAAGTGAGAAGATGGGGGGGCATTTCCAGCACACTTCATGGTGACATTGCTCGTTGGATGGCACTCAGAACATTGTCTTCTCACCTCATAGTGTCTGCTAATTGTTAGAGATCGGGTTGGCTGTGGAGAATGTCAAGGGGTAGGAAAGCGACCGGAGCAAGCTGTGGTAAGACCGATATGCAGACATGGCATAGGTTGTGCTAACACTCTTCCTCTTGTCCTGCAGTGCCCAGGTTTTAGACATCTTTCCATAACAAAATCCCTTTCCATTTCCTGGGACCCTGGAGAGGAGTGTCCTAACCAGACACTCTCAGACAGTGCAGAGAAATCAGTTTCTTTGGACTGTACCCTGGAGGGTTGCTTCCCCAAATCACCACTGTGTATATTGTCTGTTTCTTTCTACCTATTAAAAGTGATTTTGGACACTCGTTAATTTTTACTGCATTGTTTAGATTTTTCAGTGTTGATAAGCTTTTAATGCATTTAGTTACAATGTCTTAGGCAGAGCAGAAGTTTGCAGAAGAAAAACTCACTAACCACTCTAGAGACTGAATTAAGAACATGACAGAATCAGGCCGTTGTTTGTTGTGCAGTGTATTAGCCGCTTAATAGAAAGAGGGTTTCAATATTGTGTTTATGTGCTAAGAATTCTGAACAACAAAAGGCAATTTCTTCTTAAATAATGAATCATTACCATTTGCTGAGTAAGTACTTAGTTCCAAACTGATATACATTTTTCTCTAATCTTGAACACAATCTATCAAGATGTCGAATCAGGACTTTGAAAATTCACAGATAAGTTTTCCCTCTGGGCTGATATTAGTTAAGGAGCAGATATGGGAATTAGAATGTGATTTTACCATCATCAATGTCCTTGTCCCTCATGGCACATTTCCATGTGTCTAAAGATGTTCACAGCAATAGAAACCCTAACTAACATAGTAATATAAGACATAATATTATATATATGTATATAATAATATAAATGAAAGCTTAGTAAAATGATATCAACATTTAAATTATGTAGCCCATTTTGATGTTTTTTTAATTTGATTTTATTTTAAAATTTATTTATTTTTTTAATTTAATTTAATTTTATTTTACAATACTATTCAGTTCTACATAACAGCCACAGATTCCCTTGTTCTCTCCCTTCCTGCCCCCCTCCCCTTCCCCCCAGCCCACCCCTCATTCCCACATCCTCCAGATCAAGGTCTCTCCTGAGGACTGAGATCGACCTGATAGACTCAGTCCAGGCAGGTCCAGTCCCCTCCTCCCAGACTGAGCCAAGCGTCCCTGCATAAGTTCAGGTTTCAAATAGCTAACTCATGCAACGAGCCCAGGACCTGGTACCACTGCCTAAATGCCTCCCAAACAGATCAAGCCAATCAACTGTCTCACTTATTCAAAGGGCCTGATCCAGTTGGGGGCCCCTCAGTCTTTGGTTCATAGTTCATGTGTTTCCATTCGTTTGGCTATTTGTCCCTGTGCTTTATCTAACCTTGGTTTCAACAATTCTCGCTCATATAAACCCTCCTCTTTCTCACTAAGTAGACTCCCAGCGCTCCACCAGGGGCCTAGCCGTGGATGTCTGCATCCAGCTTCCTCAGTCCTTGGATGGGGTTTCTGGCACAACTATTAGGGTGTTTGGCCATCCCATCACCAGAGTAGGTCAGTCCCAGCTGTCTCTCGACCATTGCCAGCAGTCTTTTGTGGGGGTATCATTGTGGATTTCTGTGGGCCTCTTTAGTACTTTGTTTTTTCCTTTTCTCATGTGGTCTTCATTTACCATGGTCTCCTATTCCTTGTTCTCCCTCTCTTTTCTTGATCCAGCTGAGGATCTCCTGCTCTCTTTCCCTCGACCCTCGCCCTTCATTGCTCCCACTCATATCCAGGCTGTTCATGTAGATCTCAGCCATTTCTCCGTCATTGGGTGATCTCCGTGTCTTTCTTGGGGTCCTATTTTCCAGGTAGCCTCCCTGGTGATGTGAGTAGCAGTACAGTCATCTTTGTTCCACATCTAGTATCCTCCTATGAGTGAGTACATACCATATTTATGCCCTTCAACTGAAGAATGGATAAATAAATCGTGGCACATATACACAATGGAATACTGCTCAGCAGAGAAAAACAATGACACCATGAGGTTTGCAGGCAAATGGATGGATCTAGAAAAAATCATCCTGAGTGAGGTAATCCAGACTTATTTTTTATTTTAACATTTGGCAAGTTGATTTTTTTTTTTAACATTTAGCAAGTTGATTGGGTGATCCAATGACGCAAGGTGAAATTTGAAAGAATATATCCATTGTATCAAGTGTGTATTCATATCATTGTCCAAATATCCTTTTTCCTGATGTGGAAAATTCTAGCACCATGGGGATATTAATTTAAAGTCATAAGCATTCCCTGTCCCTTGAAATATTAACAACATAATCAGGAACCTGCATATGGATACATAAGTTTCAATGATTAATCTAACACAGCCCAATAGTAAAATAGACTTAATGAAAATAACCTCATGATAGAAAGGCTGGGGTGAGCTTGGCCCTTACCACCCCCATGCCTCCAACCAACACCTTGCAATTCCCTATGAGCATATCAGCCTTAGCCCCAGGGTTCCTGCCTGTTACCTCCCTACCCCCATGGCATTCTCTATTCCTGCCACTAATCTCTAATGATTATGCTTTTGGATCACTTGCCTCCATTCTCAGCTGGGGTACTAATTATCTTTGAAGGCTCAGCTAAAAACCTGAAGTTATTAGTAACACACGCACGTGTGTGTGTGTGTGTGTGTGTGTGTGTGTGTGTGTGTGCGCGCGCGCGCGCGCGTGTGTGTGCATGTGTGCATATGTATGCATGGTCCATCCTTTTGTTTTTGAGACAGTGTATCTCACTGACCTGGAATTCACCAAGTAGAGAATTTATCAAGGACGGCTAGCCAGCGAGCCCCTTCCCCTGTCTCCTCATGCCCAGTGCTGGCATTGCAAGTGTACACTCCCCCCCGCCCCCCCTGCACACACACAGTTTTATTTTTTTAAGTATGTGCTTGGGATCCAATTCAGGTCCCCATGCTTGTCAAGAACTCTGCTGGCAGCTATATCCCCAGCCCTGGCATCTATCTATGTTCATCAGAAAGAAAAAAAATCTAAAATATATTTAGTGTGAATCTGTCATCAAAGTGGTGGATGATGTATTAGTAACTCACACGAGTGCCACTTTCCTCCTATTATTCTGTTCTGGGATCTTACCGTTGGTATAAATAACATTTCTCTTCTATATCTCTTCTATAAGACTCCCTTGTTCACTGGAGGGGAGGGTGGAAATGGGAGTCGGGGGGAAGCTACAAGTACACATCTATATTTTAATGAAACATTTGATTTTGACATTTATAATCAACACGTCCACAAAATACATCCTAAACATCATATTTTCTAGTTTTCGACACCAAGGACATAGTTTAAGCCTAATCATTCTTCTAAGAAAATATTCATGTTGCCAGACAGGCAGACACAGATTTGTCACAACGTTCCTTTTCCTCCACATTCCTTAACAAAACCCAGCATCGTCTGGAGCACAGCAGACTGTGCTCAGGCAAACCCCACACACTCCCTGACCGCCTTACCTTCAGCAACATTGATGAGCACAGCTGCCAAGGAGAATTTGCGGCCCACTGGCAACGTCTGTCGATAGAAAAGCCTGAGTCACTTTCCCGTTGACACACGTCCCACTTTTTCTCCTCCCTTAGCTCCTCGAGGGGTGGATGGAAAAAAAAAAAAACTGACCACGGAGCAGCTGCTGATTTATGCTTCTCTTTTGGAGCAGGGGATTCATATTGATTAGTTGGATGAATGAGTCTGTCCCTTTGTTTCAAATGATTAGAGTGAGTGTCTGCCCTTGGAATATATCACAGCTCCACTGTGACATAATGAATAAGATCTGCTGTGTTTTCTGTGAGTCCTAACGCCGTCTCTGGACTTGGGAAACACTCCTGCCGATGATGCCTACCTTAGTAAGGGGAAAAACAGGCCTTCGGGGAGCTCTGACAAGTGTGAGCTACAGCAGGGACATGAGACATGTTGTCAGCTCTTTCTTTGTGCCCTTTCACACTGCTTGATGTACTTAGTCTGGATTTGTCATCAAAGTGGTGGATGATGTGTTGGTGACTCGCATCATACAACCTCGTGTTGTTCTGCGACCTGAGCATTGGTATAAATGTAAAAATAACTTTTCTATTGCATTACCCTTTATACAAGACTCTCCTGCTCATTGTAGGGGAGCTACTGTGCACACTTTTGTATTTTGATATATTCTGATGGAATGTTTGTCTTTAAAATTATTTTTATTTTTATTTGTGTGTATGG